ATTACAGGTGCGCACCACCATACCCAGCTAATTTTTGTATTTTTGTAGAGACGGGGTTTTGCCATGTCGGTCAGGCTGGTCTCAAACTCCCGACCTCAGGTGATCTGCCCACCTCAGCCTCCCAAAGTGCTGGGATTACAGGTGTGGGCCACCGTGCCCAGCCTCCATGCTGTTCTTGAGAGACCTTCATTGCAGGCCTGTAGATGCAGGAGCAAGCACCTTCCTGCAATAATGCTAGTTCTCAGTGGAGTTTGTTCTGTGATGTTCAGCTCAGCGGGGCCGCCTTCTTATCGTGAGAAGATGAAAACCTCTAAGAATTGATAGAGAAGAAGTTGTTGTAGGATCTACCATTGTGGCTTAATTACAAAAATATAAACAATTCAATATTCAGCAAACATGTATTGAGAACTTGTAGTAGGAGGACACTAAGGTGAATTAGAACAGCCAATGGAGTTGACATTTGAGTTTCGTAAAGATTTGAATGTCTTGTTTCCAGTGTTAAATCCCAGCAATTTAAAATGTAAATATACTGCAAGGAGTCTAAAATTTTAAATCAAAATATTTCCCTTTAACCTGCCTTAAGAGAGTTTTTCATCTAAATGCTTGAGCTGAGGTTGAGAAGCAGTGGAAGGATTGGCATCCTGTGCACACACATGGAGCAGAACAATGCTGATAGGCAGCAATGCAGAACTCACATTTGCAGAATCCTGGAGATCTTCTTGTGAGCATAGAGCATTTGCTCTGAGTTCAACGGTGGTTTACCTAGGAATCTTTTTTCCCTCTTTTTGAAGCTGGCATTTTGTTTCTGTCTTTTCAAAATTGTAGGCATAGATCATAAGGCTTCTTACCTCTCATAGATGCTGTGTTTCTCATTTAGAAGGTTCTTCGTTTCAATTTAAGGATAGGCTTTGTGGGCCGGGCGTGGTGGCTCACGCCTGTAATCCCAGCACTTTGGGAGGCCAAAGTGGGCGGATCACGAGGTCAGGAGATTGAGACCATCCTGGCTAACACGGTGAAACCCCGTCTCTACTAAAAATACAAAAAAAAAAAAAAAAAAATTAACCGGGCGTGGTGGCGGGCGCCTATAGTCCCAGCTACTTGGGAGGCTAAGGCAAGAGAATGGCGTGAACCCAGGAGGCAGAGCTTGCAGTGAGCCAAGATGGCGCCACTGCACTTCAGCCTGGGCGACAGAGTGAGACTCCGTCTCAAAAAGAAAAAAAAGAAAAGGATAGGCTTTGTGGCTGGGCGTGGTGGCTCATGCCTATAATCCCAGCACTTTGGGAGGCCGAGGCAGGCAGATCACCTGAGGTTGGGAGTTCAAGACCAGCTTGACCAACATGGAGAAACCCCATCTCTAACAACAAAAAAAATTCAAAAATTAGCCGGACATGGTGGCGGGCGCCTGTAGTCCCAGCTACTTGGGAGGCTGAGGCAGGAGAGTTGCTTGAACCCGAGAAATGGAGTTTGCAGTGAGCCAAGATCTCGCCACTGCACTCCAGCCTGGGCGACAGAATGCGACTGTCTCAAAAAAAAAAAAAAAAGAATGTTACCACTGAGTTAGATACACAGTAGTTGAACAGGTCTGCAGCACGTGGTTATCCAGCAGGATGGTTGTGGACTATGCTGTCATCTGGCAGCCTTTCAAGGCCGAGTCCCTGTGAGGATTCGGCTCCTTCCTTTCCATTCTGTGCTCTTTTCCCCACTGAAAGTGTATGGTTTGCATCATTGGAAACCCCAGGACATACCAGAGCAGCCCGCCCACACACAGTGCAGCAGTTTCTCACTCTGTGAATGCCTCATGTGTTTAAACTATCTCCAGCCAAGTCACGGTGGAAGCCCCGAGAGTGCAGGATGCACAGCTGTGCACTGCCTTCTTGGACGTTGCCAAAGGGCTGATACCTCCTGGACTCTGCCCATCAGAGCAAACCCCCGCCCTGTTGTCAGGCCAGCCAAGCCTCGGCTCTGCACATTCTCATTGTGCTCATGAGAATGTGCATGGTGCCCTTCACTAGGTCCAAAAGCAAAGGCTGGACAAAGAGCAGCGATTTTATGTTTACTTACAATGGGAATTTATTTCTTCTTATAGAATTATTCAGTTGGAATTTCTTAGGGTATTTTGTTCATCTGTCATAGAAAATAGAATGTTTGAGCTGGTTCAAAAAGACTGATCCTCAGCCAGGCACGGTGGCTCACGCCTGTAATCGTAGCACTTTGGGAGGCCGAGGCAGGCAGATTGCCTGAGCTTAGGAGTTCAAGACCAGCCTGGGCAACACTGTGAAACCCTGTCTCTACTAAAATACAAAAAATTAGCCGGGTGTGGCGGTGTGCGCCTGTAGTCCCACCTACTCGGGAGGCTGAGGCTGGAGAATTGCTTGAACCCGGGAGGCAAAGGTTGCAGTGAGCCAAGATCATGCCAGCCTGGGCAACAGAGTAAGACTTGTCTCCAAAAAAAAAAAAACAGGCCATTCCTCACATTCGTAGTCAAACTAAAGAAAAACTGCAAAATGGACTTAAAAACACCCATTTTATATTTTAAGAAGGCTTAAATGGAGGGGAAATGTAAAGCCCCCCCACCAAAGTGGGCTGGAGTAAAGGACGTTCTCAGTGCAAAGAACCTCGGACCTCCTGGGCAGGTGTTTCGCCGGCTCCTTGGAAACACACCTGCCAGGTGGACTTTCCTGTGCCTGCGGCATCTCCCTGTAGACGAGTGGAAGCAGTGATCTGCAGGACCTGGGAGCTGGATTCTTTGATTAAATAAATAAATAAATAGTTTAAATAAGGGAAGTCCTAAAGTGAAAGAAGTTGAGTTGGCCGGGCGCGGTGGCTCAAGCCTGTAATCCCAGCACTTTGGGAAGCCGAGGCAGGAGGATTGCTTGAATCCAGGAGTCCAAGATCAACCTGGGCAACATGATGAAACCTTGTCTCTACAAAAAATTTAAAAATTAGCGGCTGGGCGCGGTGGCTCAAGCCTGTAATCCCAGCACTTTGGGAGGCCGAGACGGGCGGATCACGAGGTCAGGAGATCGAGACCATCCTGGCTAACGCGGTGAAACCCCGTCTCTATTAAAAAAATACAAAAAAACTAGCCGGGCGAGGTGGTGGGCACCTGTAGTCCCAGTTACTTGGGAGGCTGAGGCAGGAGAATGGCATGAACCCAGGAGGCGGAGCTTGCAGTGAGCCGAGATCCCGCCACTGCACTCCAGCCTGGGTGACAGAGCAAGACTCCGTCTCAAAAAAAAAAAAAAAAAAAAAAAAAAAGTTGAGTTTAGTGTGACATGACATGTGTTCATTGCTGTAAGTTGCTTCTGCTCATGCTCAACTGCTAGATTTGTTGGAGAGCAGTGGCGCAGTTATGGCTCACTGCAGCCTTGACCTCCCGGGCTCAAGTGGTTGCACCCAGCCTCCCCGGTAGCTGGGACTGTAGGCGTTTGCACCACACCTGGCTAATTTTTGTTTTTTCTTTTTGTAGAGATGGGGTTTTGCCATGTTGTTGTCCAGGCTGGTTTTCAATTCCTTGGGCTCAAGTTGTCCGTCTGCCTCAGCCTTCCAAAGTGCTGAGACTACACGTGTGAGCCATGACAGCTGGCCTATTGACAATGTTTTGGAGACATTACTGGGATTTTTGTCAAAAGAGTTGGCATACATGTCATCTTTTTGCAGGGATATGAGAATAAAGAGTCTGAGAATTCTGTCCCGTGTTTGACAGATGGAAATGAATGAATTGTTACTTTCAGAGGGACACAACCACCACGCGATGCTGCATATGGCCCGCTCCACATTTGTGCAGGTTGACCACTTGTAGGAGTTCGTGGACGTATGAGGCAAGGAAGGAAGGAAAGCCAAGTTTTGCGGAGTAAAATCCTAGGAAAGTGAAGTTATATTTTGCCCATGAGACATTGCAAGTTTTGTATTCCTTAGTAAATACATACTTGTTTTAAAATAAGATAGTGATTGCTTCAAAAGATGTCTCTTGGCCAACTGTGCCGAATATGAAAAGGACGCCCGTCTTTAGGCTGGTTATCCTTTAGATGGACAGCATCAAGAGTCAGCTCTTTATCACATCTGGTTTTGTGCCGAGATGCCCTCAGGCCATCACCTTTGTGACCATTGGTCCCCAGGCATTGGTGGTTTTAGAGTGTACATCGTTGGAGAGGCACACATCGCATCTGGCACAGAGCTTAGGGTCTTCTGGGGTGGAGACCACCACCCCAATGGATAGACAGAGACACCCGTTGGTAGATGGGGGGTCAAGATGCCCTTTGTAAAAATCTTGTGAGGAAGAAAGCCTCGTAGGAGTTACCCTTGAACTTTCATCTTTGAGACCAGGTGTTAATTTGTCTTTGGGAGCTAATTATCTTTCAGAAAGATTTGGAAAGGTCAGAGGTGGGGTTGGAAATGCTCACTCAGCAGGCCCTCCCTTCGGCTGACGTGGGTTGCAGAGGCTCTTCTGTGCTTCTGTGGAAGGGTATCCTCAGGTGTCAGTTACGCCTGCCCGTGTTGAGGGGGAGCAGACTGGCCCCAAGGGTGCAGCACCCATGTAATTTTTTGTATTCTCATCACGCTGTCATTATGTTGGCACAGCTGTTGAAACTGCAGGGTGTGGCCCCTGGGTGGATGTGAAATAATTTAGTAGGTTGTGACCAGCATTGTTTATATTTATGGGGTACAGTGTAATGTTTTGGTATATATACATACACATTGCAGAATAGTTAAATCGAGCTAATTAACATATCCATCACGTCACTTCATTTAAAATCTCCCCCAGCAGTCTTGAAACACGTGTTAGTATGAATCAGTCACCATGCTGTTCAGTGGGCTCAAAAACATCCGTCCTTCTGTCTACCTGAGGCTGTGTGCCCTCTGCCCAGCAGCTCCACAAGCCCACCCCACCACCCACCTCCACCGCCCACCTCCACCAGCCCCGGTAACCCCCATTCCCTGCTTCTGTGAGCCTGACTTTTTTAGATCCCACGTCTAAATGAGAGCACATACTGTTTGCCTTTCTGTGCTTGGCTTATTTCACTTAGCATAGTGTTCTCCAGGGACTAGTATTTTCTTAAATGAAATGGAATAAAAGAAAAAATATCAGGGTGCATTGTAAATTATTAGGGCAAGTACGGCTTTATGACATCTGTTTTCAGGGATACCCACACACGTTGGTATAAATGGGGTGGTACATAAGCATCTGTTTCTTACTATGTTTCCTGGTCAACAGTTGAAAAATACTCTGGTAAAAGATTTACTAGTTTTTAGCAAACACTTGAAAAAGCATCTCATTTATTCTGAAATTCAATCAGCTGCTGCACTTTGCCTCACCCTAATTACTGGAAGAGATTCTGAGAAACACTGTTTATGGGATTCCCTATTAAATTAGGACTGGCTGGGTGTGGTGACTTACACCTCTAATCCCAACCCTTTGAGAGGCTGAGGTAAGAGGATCACTTTAGGCCAGGAGTTTGAGACTAGCCTGGGCAACATAGCAAGACCCCAGCTCTAAAAAAAAAATTTTTTTTAAAGCCTAACCAGACATGGTGGCGGCATGTACCTGTAGGCCTAGCTACTCAAGAGGCTGAAGTGGGAGGATCACTTGAGCCCAGGAGGTCAAGGCTGCAGTGAGCTATGATTGCACCACTGCACTCCAGCCTGGGGACAGAGCAAGACCCTGTCTCTAGAGGGAAAAAAGAAAGAAAGAAAAGTACCAGGACTACCACTTTCTGTGTGAAGGGATTTTTTTCTTTGAAACTCTGTCAATAAGCTAACAGAAGGCCTATCTTGTGAAAATTTAATTTATATCGTTGTTAATTAATATGAAAACCACTTTTGGTTACATTAATTAAAGAATTTCTTTTTTAGGTTTCCTTGTTGCAGAATGAAAGTGTAGAAAAAAACAAGAGCATACAAAGTTTGCACAATCAGATATGTAGCTTTGAAATTGAAATTGAGAGACAAAAGGAAATGCTTCGAAATAATGAATCCAAAATCCTTCATTTACAGGTAAGAATCTTAGGACTGTGGCCAGATCAAAGGGTAGAGGAGCTTGCCTGTGTTCCCCTTCAGGGCTTAGCAAACTGCTTGAGCTGAGTCCTTGACCTTTGCAAGCAGAAAGGCAACTGATTTCTCTGGCCTAAGCGAAGACTTAGAAAAGGCAGCTGGGCTAGCACAGGCCCAGCCTGGGAAGCTGCAGGTCAGCGTTTTCTTACTGCCTTTTCTCTGGAGAGCAAGCCTCCACCACTCTTCCATGCTTTGATCTACTGTTGGAGAAATAAGATGCGAAGCCTGTATTTTTTAAATTAGCTGTTTTTATTGTTTAAGATTTCATATTGTTGATGAGTAGTGGCTATGTGCAAAGTCTCACTTCCTGCAGTGAGGTGCTGTGCAGCCCAGCTCCTCTGTTGTGAGCTTTCTAGTGACACACGCTCACCCGCTGGGTTTCACTGTGGAGATCCACACGCACCTCCAGAAGAACAAACCAGTGAACCTTTGCCGCCCTGAATAGAAGCGATGATATAAAGGGGACTGATGAAATGTCGCTCCTCCTGTCTTCTGTCGTCACAGGTGTCTGTGAGGTGCTTGTTAATAGATGAACATTGTAGATGCTCTCTGCACATTCAGTTACTCATGTGCGTTGGTGATAGTAATTCTCGTGTGTGTGTCACACACTGTGTGGAAGAATCACTCATGTCACTCAAGGGCCTGTACTTACAGTGTGGCCCTACATTATCTGGAAGAGAAAATACTTCTAATAGCACAGAGTCATGGCATCTTTGAGAATGCCTTTTCTCTAATTTTTTTTTTTTTTTTTTGAGACGGAGTCTTGCTCTGTCACCCAGGCTGGAGTGCAGTGGCCGGATCTCAGCTCACTGCAAGCTCCTCCTCTCGGGTTCACGCCATTCTCCTGCCTCAGCCTCCCCAGTAGCTGGGACTACAGGCACCCGCCACTTCGCCCGGCTAGTTTTTTGTATTTTTTAGTAGAGACGGGGTTTCACCGTGTTAGCCAGGATGGTCTCGATCTCCTGACCTCATGATCCGCCCGTCTCGGCCTCCCAAAGTGCTGGGATTACAGGCTTGAGCCACCGCGCCCGGCCTTTTCTCTAATTTTTGACATTGGAGATGAGTCATAGTGACTTGAATTGGATAGAGATTTATTAAATTAATTTCTTTTTTATTATACTTTGTAGTTACCCAGAGAGAAAAGGAGAAAACACAATGAAACATTATGTTGTATTAAAAAAGGCACAAGTCATTAGCATTAAATCAAGTCACATAAAGTACAATGTTTCTTAAAACACCAAGCCTCCTGCTGGAAGCCCCCAGCATTTTGCTGAGGGCCCAGAGATGTGTCGGTCATCAGACTGGCCAAGGCGACTGGTCAGGCCACTGCTGCAGGGCCCTGGCCACCCTGTGGCCCGCCCGCACCTGCACTCCCTGGCAAGCAGCTCTGGCTATTCACGAGATCATTGCTGTGGTTGACCTGGGGCTCAGAGAGGCACTGGAAAGGCCAGGGAAATCACCTCTTAAAATAGCCACAACAGAAGGAAGAATGCACAAGTACTGGATTCATTTACAACAAAAAGTTAGAATATACGCAGTGATGTGTCGATGCCCCATCCCAAACCTCACATTTCCTCTGCGTTCCTCTTCAGTTTCTCCCCTTCCTGTCAGACGTTCTCATTTACTTTACTTTTTAGTCGAGTTTAATCACTCTACGGTGTGTGATTTCTACTTGAAAACTTTCATGATTAGATGAACCAATGAAGCATAAGTCAGAAAGAAAAGGGAAACCAAGTTGCCAAGGCTGGAGAAGTTAGGATGGAGTGGTGACGGCAGCGGTCAGTGTCCCTTGACATGTGACGAGTAGGAGGCTGGGCGTGGCAGACAGCAGGTTGTGTTTAGAGAAGGGACTCAGAGCAGGCTGCCCGTGTCTGATTCCCCTGAGTGCAGGGATGTGGCCCTGCCTGAAACGTGTGAAAACTCTTCTCCATGTGACCCTTTGAGCAGGTGTGGTCTAAACAGAAGGTCCTTCCAACTGTGTGTTTTTTTTGAAAGGGGAAATTCAGTGTTACCTTTGGGATGACTGTGGGGTTGGTGGTCTTTAGCCAGGAGGATTCTGCGCTGTCCATCCTCAGGAAATGCTGATTGAAAGCCAGAGACGCTGGCCGTGTGGGAGCTGCACGGGACCAGGCCATCCCTCTGCTTCTGCAGGCCCCGCCCACCCTCTTGAGTGGCAGCCCAGCCCAGCCGTGTTCCCCATTGTTTCATCCTCAGTGCCCTTCCGGTTGCCCCAGGAAGAGTTTATTGTAAAATCTTACTGTGGCCCAGAAAACCTCTGTGACTGGCCACCCCTCACCTTCCCAGCTTCGCCCCGCTCCCCGTGCTAAAGTGGACCAGCTTGTTGTTCCTTGAGAGGCTCCCTGCTGCTGCACAGATGTCTTTTTCTCCTGCTTCCTTTCCTGGCCAGCTCCAGGCACTCCTTCAGCAATGTTTGTGGACCACCTAGGTGATGAGGGCACACGTCACTTGGGGTCTTCCTCTTTCTTCCTTGTCTGATTCTCCAGTAGACCCTAAAGTCCTGGTGATGGCGGGAGTCAAAGTACAGAGGGCCTGATGGCCTGGCTGTGGCAGTAGGGGTGCAGGTAGGGGTCAAGGAGTGGAATTCGAGAATGTCTTTGCTTTGCATGCCCGGGGAACAATGAGTTCTTTAATATTTTACTTCTTAAATATCCTGTTTTTCTTTATTAAGAAGACAGCCTAGGCCGGGCACTGTGGCTCACGCTCATATTCCTAGCACTTTGGGAGGCTGATGCGGGTGGATCATGAGGTCAGGAGTTCGAGACCAGCCTGGCCAAGGTGGCAAAACCTCGTCTCTACTAAAAATAGAAAAATTAGCCGGGTGCAGTGGCAGACATCTGTAATCCCAGCTACTCAGGAGGCTGAGGCAAGAGAATCGCTTGAACCTGGGAGGCAGAGGTTGCAGTGAGCAAAAATTGCACCATTGCACTCTGGCCTGGGCGACAGAACAAGACTCTGCCTCAAAAGAAAAAAAAAAGAAGAAGAAGATAGCATAGGTGCGAGCATGACCCAGGCTTCTGGTGTCAGTGGACTAGATGAACTGGTGGTTCTTGCAGTTGGGGGTCCACAGGGCACATGCGGAGCAGTAGGCGCTGGGACAGAAGGGAGGGACATCCATCCATGCAGCCCTCACTCAGGCTGCAGGCACCACCGGGCTTCTCACAGTGCCGGGCTTGTGTGCCAGGGTCCCGGCGGCCTGAGAGTGGGGCCTCACAGCAGGTGACGTGGTTGCAGCCCTGGCGTGCAAGTGTGTGAGGCTCGTGGGCTGATGCTCCCTGAAGGCAAGCCTTCTGATTTGGATTGTTGGTGTGGAGCGCCGTCTGTCTCTCCGGCTCTGTGCCGGAGTCTTTTTTCTGTACAATTCCACACCTGCACTTGAGATTTATTTTTATAGAAGCTGCAGTGGCTGAGTGTAGACCGTCTTCAGGGATGAAATCACGTTGGCTGTGTTTTAGAGAACACTTTATGTGGCTCTGCATTCTGCTTTGAAATGGTGCCATTGATACAGATGAAGGGCCTGTTTGAAAAATAGCCCGAGTTCCCTTGCTGCTCACGGAGATACCTTTTCTTTAGTCGTGCTAGTCTATGCATGCGGTGCATGCATGTTGTGTGTTCCTGACTTGGGGGCCCCTGCTGTGCAGGGGAGTCCTTGCTGGAGACTCCTGTTCTGTGCTCGAGGTCAGGCGTGCCCTTGTGTAGCACCGTCATGGGGGAGGGGTGGCTGGGCACCATCCCCCTCTGAACCTCAGGGGCCTGAGGCTTAGCGTGAGGCACAGCTTGTCCTGGGCCACCCTGCCTGGGACTCATGCTTCGTTTCGGAGTTTGCTAAGTTACAAAGGGCATCTCTCAGACTTCTGTTGATGTTTTCATTAAGTTTCCCCTGCAACTCGCGAGCACCTGCCAGCTCAGTGCACGGCATCAGAAGGTAGAGATTCAAGAGGCTCCTGGTGCTCACTAGAGGAGCCGTGTGATTTGGATGTTCAGTGTCGCCAGTGGTATTGTCCCCCAGCAAATAGACTTGGTGAGCTAATTAAATATCCTTCTGAGCATGTACGATTGTGTAAACTAAAGGGGCAGGGACAGTGTCAGTTTAAAGGGACAATGACAGTGGAAAGAGGTGTTCGTTTCTTGGAAAGAATAGGAAGAATAACACTGCTTTTATACCCCAAAAGCCACCCAAACCTGTCAAGTTTGTGTCTTCATGGTTAATAACAGCCAGCAAAGGTGCTGAAACCTAGATGTTTAAAAATAGACTTCCAAAAGGAGAAGTGAATTCAGGGGGCCCTGGGACCCGCCCTGTGAGCACCCGGTGTGGCCGCAGCTTGTGAGGTGGCTCAGTCATTCCACAGCTTCACTGAGCACTAAACCCTCTAGCCCTCACAAGCTGCTTGAAAATGCACATCCTTTTTTGAAGTGAAAACCCTTTAAGTCCCTGGCTTCATCTCACAGGTGGGCATTCCAGCCCCTTAACACAGACTGGGCCACCAGGGCGGAGTACGGCTCCCACGCCTCCAAGTAGTGACGAATACGAGCGGCCTGTGTGTTTTGGGAAACGGTTTCTGAATTAGTTAAATGAAGTAGCATAAAGTCAGGCCTGGTTGCTGGCAGCCTCACGTGTTCGGGGCAGGTTTCTGCGTTCTCCCTCGCTGGGGCCTGGCAGCCTGGGTGTGGAGCCGGTGGGGGAAGACCCCTGTGTCTGCAGCGTCGGCCCACTGGGTTTCACCCAGGGCCTGAGGACATGCCCTGGGGCCCTTTCCTGCCACCATCCAGGTGGGAGGAGTGTGAGGAGTGGGAGTCTTCTCCTGGGAGGGTCGTTCTGGGGCAGCCACAGAGACAGGGCTGTGCTTCTGCCCCAGACCCAGCAGCAGGGTAGGAGGTCTTTAGATGTTCCAAGGGAAGATGAGGGCACATGGGCACAATTCTGGCATCCTAAACCTGATACCCTGTGGCAGCCATGCAGGGCCACTTGCCCCGTGGGACCTGCACTTACAGGGGTGAGGTTTCTCTGGGAAGCAGGGACCCTCCATACCTATGGCCCCCGAGGTATACGAGGGCTGCAGAAGAGATGTCCATGGGAGCCTTGTGGCCCTGCACAGGTGCTGTGGCCTGGGAGAAGAGCTGGGAGGAACACGTGGGAGTGTGAGGGTGAGGTTGGATCTAGGTGTCTGACAAGATTGCTGGTGTGGGGTTGACTGATGCCAGGGTGTGGGCATGTGAGAAACAGGCGGGCAGGTGGCACCAGTGCTGCTGTGAAACAGGGAAGCCTGGGCAGGGGCTGTGGACAGCAGAAGCATGAGCTGCTGCCTGCCCCAGAGACAGCGGAGACCTCTCCCCTGGTCTTCTGAACACTTGCCACCTGTCACTTCGCTTTCCTGGTGGCTCTCTGTTGACAAAGCAAGCTGACCTAGTGGAGCCTCCTGTTGTTTTCTTCCATCTGGCTTCACGTCACCTCGAGTGCTCCCTGCCGGCACAAGCACTTGTTCCCAAGGAGCTCCCAGGAGGGCCGACGCAGAGCCCCGTTCCTGGAGTCAGAGCCACGGGTAGCAGGCCTCTGTGACTGTTCTGCTCCTAGCCCGTCTGTATTTGATGGGAGGCGGTGCAGCATTTTCCAAGTCCTAACTATGTTTTGCTTTTTAACACCTTTGGTTTGGAAGCGAGTGATAGACAGCCAAGCAGAGAAACTGAAGGAGCTCGACAAAGAGATCCGGCCCTTCCGGCAGAACTGGGAGGAAGCAGACAGCATGAAGAGCAGCGTGGAGTCCCTCCAGAACCGTGTGACCGAGCTGGAGAGCGTGGACAAGAGCGCGGGGCAAGTGGCTCGGAACACAGGTGAGTCAGGGGCCGGGGCTGGGCCAGCAGTGTGCATCTGGGCCCCGGGGGACTGCTGGGGCAGGGTCTGTGGGATGAGGGCTATGTTAGGTACATGCGCCTTAGAACAGTTCTTTCCAATTATGGGTAACACGCAGAGGTGTGATGACTTTCCTGCTGCAAGTCCCCCAGCAAAGACAAACGTTTCCCACACAGGCTTGTCCCCTTCATGTGAGGCCCTGTGTGGTGTAGAGAGTAGGGGCAGCTGCAGCCACGAGAAGCTACAAAGCCCTCCTGGGAGAGACTGGCCACCGTATGACCCGCAGGACAGGCCCAGGTGCACATGGCCAGGACATGCTGGTCGGGGCGCCCCAGACCTGACTCCTAAGGGCCAGGGGGCAGCAGTCCCACTGCGCTCTGCCAGCGTGTTTCTGATCCCACAAGCAGATGTGGGCCTATGGCTTTGGGGACTGAAAGAGTATTGGGAATATTTACATGAAGAGGATTAATGGCAGAAAGAACACAGATTACCATGGTGTGTGGGGGGCCGGATGAAGCAGGCAGAGGATGAGGCTGGAGGAGAGGGGAGAAGCTTCGCCTCCGAGAGAGCAGAGGCCACCTGCAGGCACTGAGGCCGGTGGGAGGGGTGGGGAGAGCACAGCTGTCTCCTGCTCCCAGGGGCTCCCACCAGCAGGCTTCCCAGGAAGCCATAGTGGAGTCGGAGCGCTCTGTCTTGGACCCTGCAGTGAGGTGTCCTGTGACACACAGGCAGGTCACCCACCTAGGACATCCCCTCTCAGCAGGCCGTGCCTAGTAATGTGTCCAGACAGGGCTGTGGGCATGAGAGCAGTGGTAGAACTGGGGCAGGGACCTGGGCTCTTCCCTGGGAGGCGGTGGCCTCAGGACATCTGTCTACACAGTTTTGCTGGTGTTACCCCCAGAAACCACAGTCATTTTTATATTGTTTCAGATGCTGGTGTGACTGGGCATGGTGGTGTGGCCTATAGTCGCAGTGCTTTGGGAGGCTGAGGCGGGAGGATTACTTAAGCTCAGGAGTTTGATGCCATCCTGAGCAACAGAGCGAGACCTTGCCTCTTTAAAAATTAAAAAATGAGGCCAGGCACGGTGGCTTATGCCTGTAATCCCAGCACTTTGGGAGGCCGAGGCGGGCAGATCATGAGGTCAGGAGATCGAGATCATCCTGGTTAACACAGTGAAACCCTGTCTCTACTAAAAATACAAAAAATTAGCCGGGCATGGTGGTGGGCGCCTGTAGTCCCAGCTACTCGGGAGGCTGAGGCAGGAGAGCGGCGTGAACCCAGGAGGTGGAGCTTGCAGTGAGCTGAGATCGCGCCACTGCGCTCCAGCCTGGACGACAGAGACTCCGTCTCAAAAAGAAAAAAAAGGGGCCAGGTGCGGTGGCTCATGCCTGTAATCCCAGCACTTTTGGGAGATCGAGGCAGGTGGATCACCTCAGGTCAGGAGTTCGAGACCAGCCTGGCCAACATGGTGAAACCCTGTCCCTACTAAAAATACAAAAATTAGCCAAGCGTGGTGGCAGGCACCTGTAATCCCAGCTGCTCAGGAGTCTGAGGCAGGAGAATCGCTTGAACCTGGGAGGCAGAGGTTGCAGTCAGCTGAGATTATGCCACCGCACTCCAGCCTGGGCAACAGAGTGAGACTCCGTCTCAAAAAAATGAAATAAAATAAAAAGTGCTGGTGCAGCTTTGCTTTCCTAACCTTTCTGACGTTCACCTGTCTCATTCACCAAATCCCTCCTCACCTGTGGCAGGCCTGCTGGAGTCCCAGCTGAGCCGGCATGACCAGATGCTGAGTGTGCACGACATCCGCCTGGCCGACATGGACCTGCGCTTCCAGGTCCTGGAGACCGCCAGCTACAACGGCGTGCTCATCTGGAAGATTCGTGACTACAAGCGGCGGAAGCAGGAGGCCGTCATGGGGAAGACCCTGTCCCTTTACAGCCAGCCTTTCTACACTGGCTACTTTGGCTATAAGATGTGTGCCAGGGTCTACCTGAACGGGGATGGGATGGGAAAGGGGACGCACCTGTCGCTGTTTTTTGTCATCATGCGTGGAGAATATGATGCCCTGCTTCCATGGCCGTTTAAGCAGAAAGTGACACTCATGCTGATGGATCAGGGGTCCTCTCGGCGCCATTTGGGAGATGCGTTCAAGCCCGACCCCAACAGCAGCAGCTTCAAGAAGCCCACTGGAGAGATGAATATCGCCTCTGGCTGCCCAGTCTTTGTGGCCCAGACTGTTCTAGAAAATGGGACATATATTAAAGATGATACAATTTTTATTAAAGTCATAGTGGATACTTCGGATCTGCCCGATCCCTGATGAGTAGCTGGGGAGGTGGATTTAGCAGAAGGCAACTCCTCTGGGGGATTTGAACCGGTCTGTCTTCACCGAGGTCCTCGCACTCAGAAAAGGACCTTGTGGGACGGAGGAAGCGGCAGAAGGCGGACGCGTGCCGGCGGGAGGAGCCACGCGTGAGCACACGTGACACGTTTTATAATAGACTAGCCACACTTCACTCTGAAGAATTATTTATCCTTCAGCGAGATAAATATTGCTGTCAGAGAAGGTTTTCATTTTCGTTTTTAAAGATCTAGTTAATTAAGGTGGAAAACATATATGCTAAACAAAAACATGATTTTTCTTCCTTAAACTTGAACACCAAAAACACACACACACACATGTGGGGATGGCTGGACATGTCAGCATGTTAAGTAAAAGGAGAATTTATGAAATAGTAATGCAATTCTGATATCTTCTTTCTAAAATTCAAGAGTGCAATTTTGTTTCAAATACAGTATATTGTCTATTTTTAAGGCCTCATCTGGTCTCTGTTTTAATAATTTGTTTGTCAGAAGACCCTGAAGTATACCTAGGTCTTTTTTTTGAAAGTCTCTAAATTCAGAATCATTTTTAATTTAAAGTTCTACAAATAATTGTTACTGCAAACATTTTATTTTAAAACGCTGATAGACTGATATTTCTTGGAAGAAAATATAAAATATCAAACACTGGTTATCACTTGTGATAGGAAAGAGAATATTCAACCTGTTGTTATTTCTCGTTAGAAATGTAAACCTTCAATATCTGTCGTAGTTAATGACACGACTTCACAATTCTGAACGGAGCCTCGCTCATGGATGCTGTGCATCATTTTCAGATTTATAATTGTTTTCACCCTAAAATAGGGCATCCGTTGAACTTTGGAGTTCTAAACAAAATCCTGTAGGTGTTTGGATTCTGCCCCATGTGTTCGGACGAGCTCTCTGTTGCTGACAGCACCGGCCTTCGGTCTCCATGTCAGGGGTGGGCGGGTGACTGCTGAGGGAGGCCCGCAGGTGTGTTTCTCCATCCTGTCATCTTGCTGCATGCCGTCAACGGTCTCCGAAAGCAACATTGCGCATAGAGCTGGTGGCATACGGTACATGTGCCTTAGATGTGACATGCTGCTTCTCCACCCTGGGTTTGCGTTGAGCATAATTCTAGAAAGTGCTAGTTTAACCAGACTTTTCTCTCCACCACTAGATCTTTATCTCTACAAGGGCCCTCAGACACCTCCGCACCTGCTGAGGGGAAGCCAGGCTCCACCGTCGGCTTCTGGAGCCTCTGCTGCTTAATTACCACAGATTCCAAATCTCTAGGCCCCACGAGTGAGCCACCTGGTCCAAGTACGGCCTGGTCCCACCCTGAGGGAGGCAGGTGTGGAACAGAAGCCGAGCCTCTCCGTGTCCCCACTGGGGCCGTGGGCACCCCCACAGCCCGAAGCAGAACCCTCTGAGCATTCCAGAGACCGCTGCTCGGGGGCCTGCCCAGGCTGACCGATGGGCGCTCCTGACCACCACCCTGGTGGGAAGGGTGGCCACAGGGCCCGTCGTCCCAGCCTGCGCCTGCCCGGACGGCATTTTCTCAACTCACTGTTTACTGTCTCTCAGTGTCCAACTGTGATTAGAAGCCTGGAGCCCGGCCCCTGCACCCCTTTTGCTATGCACCACGCTTCATGGTGCTCTTACCACTGATGGGTGCTACACGCGACGGGTGCTTCTTAGGCAAAACCAATGTGTGCGAACCGCCACACCTGTGCCACTTGCCCACAAGCCGCGCCCACAATTGGCCAGCTGGGCCGTGCACGTCAGACTGCCTGCCTCGGCTCTCCCCGTGGCCGCGCGGGGACAGCTTGGTGGGTGCCCGGTGGCCCACCTGTCTCTGGTGCTGCCATCTGTCCTGGGTGTGCCTTCGCCCCAGTGCCTGCTGGAAGTGCCCTCCGTCGCACCCCTGTGCCCCGAGCTCCCATGAGGGGCCTGCCGCGCCCTTTCGCGGTTGAAGCGCTCCGTTGTTCTTATCTGCCTTTCCTTTCCCCGCTTTCCTGGGATTGCTTTGGGGGAATGAGTATCTTTGGTTCTGCCCCGTGAGGGAGCTCATAAAGCAAGGACTTCCTGCAGGAGCTGCGGAAAACTACTGTTCCTTGAAGGTGTCCCCCACCTCAGGCCTGTCCCCTACCTGCCCTCAGGTAGCTTTCCTGAGGTCAGGGGTTAACAACAGGGACATCCCTGCAACTTCCCCTTCACAAAATGTACAATATTAGATTAAGGTTATGCAACATCTTGGTCTGGTAAGAACTGTTTCCTCCCCTCTGGGTTGAAGGCCTGGTGTGGCCCCCGGAAGCAGCAGTGCGTGTCGCTGGGACGTCTCCAGTAGCCCTTCCCAGGCAGATGCTCCTGGGGGGACGCCATGGGACCCCACCCAAGGGTCCCACAGACATAACCTGAGTGACGGGGGTCCTTGAGGATGGGATGGCCCATGTCACACGCTTTGTCCTTGTGTTTGATTGTATTGGGGTCTCTGTTCTGAGTGTGTCTTCCTCTCATATACTCAGCACGGGGGGCAGCAGCCTGGGACGGCGTCCCCTCTCCCAGCGGTGGGCAAGCCTTGTGCTGCTCCACCCTCAACCCCCGGGCACCCTCACTTGGCGCTCGCCACCTGAGCCAGCCTGAGGCCATGGTCTCCCTGCAGCTGAGGCCCAGTGGCCCCTCGGGCAGTGGTCGGCCGTCCCTGTGTCACAGGGCCCTGGCAGCAAGCATGAAACGGGGGTGCACACTGTGTGCTTGGGGGTGCTGCTTATTTACCAAAAGTGACCAAACTCCCAGCAGGACAGAACTGTTCAGTATTTTACAGAAACCAACTGAGTCCTTTGTGCATGAATTAAGCTGGTCTGCTTCCCGTCACCTTCGTAACAAAACACCGTCCCCTCTCCCCTCGCCTCGAGCAGTTTCTCCAGGACACCGTGGTTCGGGCTGCTCCCTGCTGCCGGGCGCACTGGGGGCTGGCCTGGGCCCGGCTCACATGAAGGGCACTGGCTCTTGTGACTGCACTGAGCCCCGTGCAAGCCGCAGCCGGGCCTGGAAGCCTGACCGTCTGGTTCTAGGGCTTTTCCAGCAGAGCCTGCAGAGCTAGAAGTTGGGGTGTGTCTTTGATGATACGGGGGCCAGGCTGGGAGTACGGCCTTTCCCGCAGGGTTGGGTGGCTCAGTGAGGGTGGAAGTAGGGGCCCATGGGGCCCTGGCTTTGGGACTAGACGTGCCAGCTCCAGCTGGACTGGAGGGAGCCTGAGTAGGCCCTGACATACGCTGGACTTTTCAACTCGCTGTGCTCTGGTGACACACAGGCGGCCAGGTCAGGGTTTGTGTCAATTCTAGGAGCCGTCAAGCATGAAAGTGGTGCTGTCCCCTGAGCGCAAGCCTCACCAGAGCCCTGGGCGAAGGCGTGGACTTGCAGATGTGTGTTCCCTGTGCAGGTGGGCAGAGGGGGCCCTGGAGACCCAGGTTGCAGCCCCATTCTGTCACCTCTTCCTCCCCAGAGCAGCCTCTGCCGAGGGACAGCACCTGTGTCCCTTCGATGCCACCACAGTCAGTTGAACAGGGAGCCCTTTGCTCAGGCAGCTTCTTCTGCCTCTCCCTCCTTTCCTGTCCCATCCCCCATGCCCTTCTTGGCCTGTGGTGCCGGGGAGCCATGGTGTGGCGTACTGGGGCTCCTGCTCCTTGGGCCACTTCCTTGGCCCGGGCCCCACAGGCCCACCGCCTGTCAGGGCTCTCACTGCACCGGCTGTGGCAGGAGGCTTCCCCATAACGCCGTGTGGCCCAGCTCGGTGAGGATGCAGTTCCAGGCACAGTCCCTGGGACAACCAGCTGCCTCCCAGACCACCTCAGCCTGCTCCAGGGTCCTCAGTCACCCTGGGCCAGGGGCCACATGTCCCATGGATGTCGGCCATGCCAACGTCACATTCCAGCACCCCTTTTGCTTGATGGTGTCTGGTGGTAGTCACCATGGTGGACCCACATCCTTCAGCCAGAGGTGATGTCAGACAAAGGAAGGGTGGTCTGCATGAGTCCTTAAACAACCATTCTGTCCCTAGCGGGGTCATTCCTTGTCAACCCAAGGGAGGGCCGGGGAGTACACTGATCCCAACAGCTGGGCTGACACCTCCTTTCTCCCCTGCACAGGGAGGATTGGCGCGAGGACTGCTACCCTGTGCACAGCTCCAGCAGGGTGGCAGTGCCACTGTCTCCGTGGGCCATTGCAGGGTTGGGCAGGCGCAGACTCCTTGCGGGCCCCTGGCTCAATTCCCAGCCCTCCCAGACTCCTCCCTGTACTGGGGGTAATTTGTGTGTCAAAAGGGCTCCAGCAGAACTGTAAAATACTGTTTTTAAAAAATTTAGTGCAGATCTTTACTTAGTAGACTGCAGAAGGACAGCTAGGGAGAGTGCTGGGAGCCCCTTTGCTTTTGTGTGTGTGATGAATGAGGGTCTGTCACCCAAATCTACTTCTCAGCCCATGACCATTGTTCTGTTTTCCGTTTGCAAATCTCAGTAGCTCTGTTTTCTCCAAAGTAGAATGTCCCCACCGGGGCCCAGGCCAGGCGAGGTCAGTGTGGGCAGGCTACCTGGTCATTATTGCTGCCTCGTCCAGGCTGCTGCTGATGGTCACAGGCACAGTGGCATCAGGGAGCCGGGCCAGCAGGCGGCGTGAGGCGGGGCCCGCAGCTCACTGCAAGGGCGTTTTCCACCTGACCCAGGTGTGCCCCACATGCGGTTGCAGGGCAGACGTATGAAGCCTTGGCCGCCTCAGGGCTGGCAGGTGTGTGGGTGAGGAGGCCCCGGTGGCCAAGCAGAGCCTGCGTTTCATTTCTCCTGCTGCACTGTGTCTAGTCTGTCTTGTGAACTCTCACCGTGAAAAGATGCTAGAAGTCCAGGATCGCTGCACCACTCCTGTAATTAGGTGATGATTGGTTTTGACAACTTAGTCCCCTCAAACAAGTAAGATACCCCCTCCAACGGCAAATTCAGTGACTTAATTGGAAAACACACAAGCTGGCATGATGTCCGGTGATTTCTCTAAGAAATGCCTGTGGGAGAAGGTGTGTGAAGTGTGGAGGGCAGTGTAGACGCTGCACAGCATCTGCAGATTTGCAACCCCTTCTCTGCCGGTGCCTCTGTGTTCAGTTCTGTTACCCAAAAACAAAGACCAAAGAAGGCCAGTCTCTCATTCGACCCTATCTTTTTAATCTGCCTGTTTTAAAAATTGCGTCTGTAGTAGCCGCTTGCTGTGAGGACACATCTCGACAGTCCAAGTGATTCTGTGACCAGTGATTCGGGCCCTGTTTTCCGCTCTTCTAAGAAAAAAACAAAAAGACCGTCAGTGATTGCCCAGCAATAATCATGTTGTTACTGTGAGTTGGCAACATGCCTGACTTTCTGATAGCATTACTGTTTTATATTTTTGTTTATTGTATATTATGTGTGGTTTTATTTGGTATTTATTTGTGTTTTGAGGTCTTGCAATGTTTTTGTGTTTCTGATGCTAATAACTAAAGTTTGTAAGACTGTAGAATGCAAAACTCGGAGATGCTAAACTGTCTTATTAGAGGAAAATAAATCTGATTATGGAGTCTCAGTTTCTGATCACACCGTCTCTTGCAGGCTGGGCCCCAGGTGAGTGGCCCTCCCTCCTGCCGGACCCCGTGGCTGTCCTCTCAGTGGCTGGGCCCGGGATGGCCACCTGGCCAAGACCTGTGTGGCCAGAGGCCTATGCTTGGGTTACTGCCCTCTGTCACCATCTTGAAATTCTTTGTAATTCTCAGCAAGGGGCCCACTTTGCTTACAGTTTTGCCTGCAGCCTCTGACCTGAAGGGAATCCCGGGGGCCAGGCTCACAAGTCTGTGGCTTGGTCCCGAGCATATGAGGCGGAGCTCTGACCTCCTACCCGGACACGTGCCTGCCATCTGGCATGGTGGAAAGGGCATGCTGGACCCACAGGCCTGGGGTCAGCCTCAGCTCCACCACTCCGTGGGACTTTGAAGCCTTCGAGCCTCAGTTTCCTCCTCTGTACATTGGAAGGACAGCACCTCCTCCCACTGTGAAACAAGATGGTTAATAAGGAGTGACACCAGTGCTGACATGCCGGGTCTGGGCAGTGTCCTTCAGCAGCTGCTCGTGGCAGAGTTAAGGGCTCCTGGGCGCCACCGCCACTGTGATCTGCCTTCCATTTGTTTGGGTCAGGCCTGGTACAGGAAGCCCTGCATCTCCCTCGAGTTCCCCCAAAATTATCAGATGGGGAGACCCGCTCAGCCCTCCCCCACTGTCCTGCTTCTCCCAGGGTCTGCTGCAGCCACCACAGCGCCCTGCTCAGTGCCTCCCCATCCTTCAGGGCACTGCGTGGGGCCACATCCAGAACAGATGCCATTGGCCCCCACGTGTGGCCCACTGAGCAGGAAGGAGTGGTCCTAGGAGCAGCTCCCCAGGGTCCTCCCTCAAGGTCTCAGGGCCTCTCCTGAGGGTCCCTTGCCCGCCCAGCCCCAGCCCTGCCCTCTCTGCAGGCCCACACCACCCCTGCCGTACCCTGGCTGGTGGCAGTAGTGGGGTGCTGGAATCCTCCTGGGACTGGCAGCCTCCACCCCCACATGATGGGGAACGTGTGGTACCTTGGCTCCTGGGAGCTGCCCCGGGACAGCCTTACCGGTCCTTCCATCTGGGGGCCCCAAATCTTCACACCCATGTGGTGGGGGCCTGCGCTCCATCCATCTTCCCTGTGCCCTCAAGCCCAGGGTCCTGCTGCAGCCTTGAGGACACCAGGACACCTATGGAGACCAGGCAGTGTGCAGGTGTCACCGCTGACTGCAAGTGTGAGCTGGGCCAGGGATGGGACGGCTAGGACAGCCAGCACCACATGCCGACGAACGGGGAGTGTCAGCTGGGGGGGGGCTGGCTTGAGGATTACAGAAACTGGATCCTTTTTTTTTTTTTTTCTGTTTTTGAGACAGAGCTTTGCTCTTCTCACCCAGGCTGGAGTGCAATGGCGCAATCTCGACTCACCACAACCTCTGCCTCCTGGCTTCAAGTGATTCTCCTGCCTCAGCCTCCCGAATAGCTGGGATTACAGGCATCTGCCACCACGCCTGGCTGTTTTTGTATTTTTAGTAGAGACGGGGTTTCTACCTGTTGGTCAGGCTGATCTCAAACTTGTGACCTCTGGTGATCGCCTGCCTTGACCTCCCTTTTTTTTTTTTTTTTTTTTTTGACATGTAGTCTTGCTCTGTCGCCCTCACTAGAGTACAGTGGCATGGGATTACAGGCATGTGCCACCACACCCAGCTAGGCTCAAGTGATCCTCCCACCTCAGTCTCCTGAGTAGCTGGGACCACAGGCGCATGCCACCATGCCGGGCTAATTTCTGTATTTTTAGTAGAGACGGGGTTTTGCCATGTTGCCCAGGGTGGTCTGACCTCCTCAGCTCAGGTGATCCCCCCACCTCGGCCTCTCAAAGTGCTGGGATTACAGGCGTGCGCCACTGCACCCGGCCTGGATTCTTGCACCCTCTGGGGGTCCTACAGGAGAGTAGATGGACGGCAAACCCCAAGACCTGCTGGACTGGCCTGGGCTGAGGGCGCTAGCGGGGACATCTGCAGAGCCGGCCTCAGATCATGCAGCAAGAAACGACCGGGGAGGGGAGTGGGAGCTTCTGAGCTGCTCCCCCCAGGGCATTGGGCAGGGATTCCCTACCTCCAGCCTGACGTCCAGACCTCAACGGGGATGGAGGGACTGAGTCCAGCCCTCAGGTGCACACCAGGCCGTCACCTGGCTCCGTCCTGCTAGGGGCCGCCCAGATCTTGCAGGGAGTTGGGAACCAGGGGTGTCACCGTCTAGGCCTAGGGAAGGAGGAGGTTGTGGCCCTTGCCTGCCTCCCCTCAGCTCAGGGGGCTGCTCTGTTCTGGCCCCGATGAGTGATGCTGGAATGGGAGCGGTGCGGAGCAGGGAGGCACTCAGAGCCCTCAGCCACAGCTCCCCCCGTGGCCCTGGCTCTGCCCTGCAGCAGACCCCACACCCGGGAGCCAACCCGGCAACCGAACCCGGGCAGAGTCTGGACTGAAGGTGGACGGTGCGTGGTGGGAGGCTGGCGATCTGGAGTTTCGATAAGGAAAGCAAGGCCTGGGGAGGAGGCTGGGGCTCGGCCGCTGGGCTGGATCAGGCAGCACACCCTCCCCACGCTGCCCTGCAGTCCTTTGGGAGACAGCGGCACTCAGACCGGGCCACAAGCCCTGCAGGACACCAGTGGAGCCACGTGGGTGGGAGACAGCGGCACTCGGACTGGGCCACAAGCCCTGCAGGACACCAGTGGAGCCACGTGGGTGGAAGCCTAGAAATTTGATTCTGAATTGAAGTCCAGGGGGTTTTCAGTTTTCTGAAAATGAGCAGTTGTATAATCTAACCCTAAAATCAATAATTTATTGTTAAAAGACCAGAACCACCGAAGGGCTGTGCAGGAGAGGTGGCCGCGCTGCCTATGCTTTATTTATTTATTTATTTATTTATTTATTTATTTATTTATTTATTTATTTATAGACGGAGTCTCGCTCTGTCGCCCAGGCTGGAGTGTGGTGGCGTGATCTCAGCTCACTGCAAGCTCCGCCTCCCGGGTTCACGCCATTCTCCTGCCTCAGCCTCCCGAGTAGCTGGGACTACAGGCGCCCGCCACCACGCCCGGCTAATTTTTTGTATTTTTAGTAGGATCTGAGTTTCCCCTTTTTGCCCAGGGTGGTCCTGACCTCCTCAGCTCAGGTGATCCCCCCACCTCGGCCTCTCAAAGTGCTGGGATTACAGGTATGAGCCACCACGCCCGGCCTGCCTATGCTTTTAATTTTTTAAATTTTCAAGGTCATCCTTAGAGCCTCTGCCTTGACCCTGCAGCCACAGGTCACTTGGCGGCGGGAGACCAGGCCTGGCGTCTGGATCCTCTCAGTGCCGCAGTGCTGCTCGGGGACTCGGTCCTGTGCGGAGTTACTTGATTAGAAGTTAAAGGTGGAGGGGAAAGACGCCTGTGGGGCTGTCCCAACCTGCTTCCTCCACTCAGACCACAGCTTTCAGTGGGCTCAGTCCCCAGGGACCCCCAAGCCCCAGGGTCAGCCTCCCAGGGCAGAGCTCAGAACCCCCTGCCCAGACCCTGGGGAGCCAATGGGGCCCAGATTTGGAGACACGGCAGAAAGAGGGCTGGCACCTGCTGGGAGGGGTCTAGGAGCCAGGGGCGCAGCTCATACGAGCGCATACCCAGCGCCTCTGCTTCATGTCAAAGGGAGATGATGCTGGTGTCCACCTGAGAGGCCACATGGAGAGCACTCCACATGGGCAGGACATCGCCCACAGGAAACACCCCTGCAAGGGACCTTGGACCTTGGGGAGGGTGGCTGTGCCCTCCCTGGCTGGGCCCTGCACCCTAGCCTGCAGCCATTCAGCTTGGAGGACTCCCGGCACCGGCACTTGGCTCCCCGCCACCTCCCCGGCCCCTGTGGCACTTGGGGCTCCACAGTTCTCCGACTCCCTGCTGAGGTTCTGAGCCATTTGCAAGCATGTGTCCCCATGTGTGCTTGAGGGCCGGGGGCACCTGTGCATATGGTCAAGGGCCTTCTGTGCACACACGGCACCTGCAGTGTGGTCCCAGCCATTCCTCAGCACCCGTGGGCCCAGCTCCATCTCAGGCGGCCTGCTTGGCACAGCTCTCGCTGGTCACCTCGTGCTGGATAACTGCCCTCCACCAGCCACACTCGGGCTCCACATACCCAGCCTGGGTCACAGCCACTCATGTCCTGGTCTGGCCAACCTTGTGGGAACTCTGCCCAAGGAGGGACAGTAAGGGTTTTTGAGTACCACGTCAGTGACCTTGACTGCCAGCAGGGGCTCCCCTGGACCCAGAGGCTGGCGAACACCTGACAACCTTCCCCTCCATACAGCGTAGGGGCAGGGGCAGATTAACCCTCCGTGCAGAAGGAGTGGAGGTGGAGGCAGCACAGTGGCTGGCCCCTGGTCCGGGTCTTGCAGAGCCCTCCCCACCTGGGGTGGGGTTGAAGCAAGTCACTCAGGGCCAGCTTCCCAGCTGGTACTCCTGAGACCCTCAGCTCCCCAGCACCCTGATGTCCTCCTCCTCCCATTGTCCATGGATGGAGAAGGGACCAATGGTGCCTCCAGGGTTGAGCTCTCGTCTCCTGGTGCTCCTGCTCTCCTACATCCCCACAGGCCAGGGCTGCAGCCTGAAGGGGCACTGGGCCCCTGTGCCCTGTGAGATGGGCACTGCCACCCTCGCTCTGCAGGTGATGAATGGAATGGAGGTGAAGTGAATCGCACAGCCTCATACAGCATTGGAGTCCTGGACTTGTCTGACCACTGCTAGATGCCACCAGGGGGGCCCCGCCTGTCCCCCACCCCAGCAGACAGGCAGCAGGCCCAGCCCTATCCAAGCTAGGTGGAGACCCCTGGTCCACACCCTCCTGGGCTCCCCTCTGAGTTATATCCAACCCATCCCAGCAACAGCTGCTCTCACAAGCCCCCTGGCCTCACCTGCTCTCTTCCCTTCTCTCCTGCCTCTTGCCTGCCTTTTTTGTGAGACAGATCTCACTCTGTCGCCCA